CTGCAGCCTGGGCTGTCCCCCTGCCTGGGGTGACATCTGCAGCCTGGGGTGTCCCCCTGCCTGGGGTGACACCTGCAGCCTGGGCTGTCCCCTGCCTGGGGTGACATCTGCAGCCTGGGGTGACATCTGCAGCCTGGGGTGACATCTGCATGTCCTTCAGCCCCTGGGGCCGTGGCTGCCTGGGAAGCTCTGGGTCCCCCCGTGGGCAGCAGGCACCAAGGACCGTGCCAGCTCCTGCAGATGTGGCTGGCTGTCTCCAGAGTGTGGCCCTGCAGTCAYCAAATCAACCCTGCACCAGAAGAGTGCAGCCTGACTTGCAAAATCAGTGGGCCTGGAAAAAGGCCCAAAGGCATGTGAAATATGCTGGGCTTGAGRGTGAAAAAAACCACAGGCTAGTAAAAATTTAATGTATGAGCCATGGGTTCACAGAGTTCAACAGTATTTTCCAATAAAATATCTTGAAGGATTGGTTTAATACCAGAACAGCTGTGTTATTTAAACAGTTTGGAGTTTTGGGGGCGCGGAACAAAGTGAAGTGATGGCAATAAGTAGAACAATGGATGTTTCTGTTCCCTCATTCAGCCTTGGGAAGAAATATAGGAAAACATGAAACAAGGACTGGGAAAGGAAGATGCTTTTTACTTCCTGGGTTTTCTCTGCAAGATATCCTGTTGTAGGGTATAATATTTTTGAGTAGCAAGGCTGTGGACTTAACTGAGTGGAGCTGTCAGAAAATGTGCTTTTGGTTGTAGGGCATGGAACATTTTGCTGGCTCAGATGTTATAAAATTGCCTAGGATTTCTTGCCTTTACATCTGCTTTATTTTTAATTTTTAAAATTCCAAATCTCCTGATTGTGACTCCATGAGTCAGAGTTGGAGTGATTAGGACTTCTCTGTGTACTTCTCAAGTGTACTCTTGACTCTCACCTTCCTTTGGTTGCCTGTGAATTAATTCAGGCTGCTTGATCTTGGTTACCTAGTTTGACTTTGTGTGCAGCATCTTAGCTTATGTTTCATAGCCACTTCCTGCCAAATATGATTTTTATGTACTTGAAGTCATATTTTGTTTCATATGAACACAAATTACAAACCAAACCATTTGTATGGCACATCTCTTGATTCTCTGACCCATTCCTTGTTACAGAATTTTCAGTTTGCTGGGTTCAGTCTCTTGTGTTCAAGCACTGCTTTTCACCATTGTGGAGCCATCCCATGCCACTGTGCAGATGCAGCAATGAGAACTTTATCATCCGAAATTAAACTGACAAGAATGCTTACACAGATGGTCCCTAAACTTTACCAAACAGCTTCAAAACTCTGTAAATATTTATTAAGCTAACAGAAGTTGAGGATGATGACCCTGTCCCCATGAATATTTGAGAGTTTAACATAGTSCCAGCAAACTATGTGTTTAAAAATTATCTCAAATAGCTGTGTAGATTTAACCCCCGGGATTATTTCTTCTATCTTAATTTGTTTATGTCTGAATATTTTGGACACAAGGTAAAAATCCCAAGGCTTTTGAATGGTTGTATGAGCTGCAGGCAGCGGTCGGTAGCGCAGCAGTTCCACACACACCCTGGTGCCCCTTTGGCACCGAGACCCTCAGGCGGGGCTGGGAACGGGACAGCCCTGCAACACTTTGATTTGAGGAAAAACGTGCAGTGTGGAGCTTGTGACATGGCACGGCAGCTCGGGCAGGAGCGCTCCCCCGAAATGGGCAGTTTTACCCCCAAACGCGCTGCTGGGCGCTGTTGTACTGAGGGGGGCACGGAGCCGATTCTCGCTGCCCTTCCAGGCCCGGCGCGGGCAGGGCTGCGGGGCTGGGCCGGGCGGAGAGCGGCACATCGGCACATCGGCACATCGGCACA